AAATTCAAGGTTGAAGCACTAGTAGTACCCAAAGTCAATTTTGACTTCATCTTATCGAGACCTGACATGACACATATGAAGATGAACATACCCTGGAATGACATGGTCATAATCGCAAGAGAGTGTGCCATATCGCCCATAAGGCTGACCGTAAGCCGTCTACCAAAGAGAATGTGCCACTGATTTTGCCTGAGCTTTTGTGTATTAGAGTGTACCCAAGTGCCACAACGGCCATTGAGGTACCGTTTCTATTATGAGACTACACTATTGTAAAGAGAAGACCGTATAGCCTCAGTCATGACAAGAAAGTTTGGTTAAAGCAGGAACTCCAAGGAATGATGGAGGCAAAAATCATCAGGCCTTTCACTTTATCATTTGCTTCACCCATTATCATTGTCCCGAAAGAAGAAGGGTCATTTCACCTATGCATGGATAATTGCCTAATAAACAAACAAACCGACCTTTTCCCATACCCAATGTCAAGAATTGATGATATCATTGATAAAGCAGGAGGATGTCAGTGGTTTTCCCGCGTAGACCTGTGTAAAGGATACTGGCAAGTGCCGCTAAGAGAAGATACTAAAAAATTTACTGCATTCCTCGGCCCTTGGACATCTACGCATACAATGGAATGCCCTTCGGGTGGGAAAATTCTGTATCATGATTTCAAAACATGAGAATGGTGTACCCAAAGACTTCATCGGGGATAATAGTGTACTCAAAGACTTCATCGAACATTTTGTAATGTCTATGTAGATGACATCATTGTATACTTACAAACTCGGGAGGTTCACGGAGGGCACCTAGAGAAGGTCCTCGAGGCACTAAGCTCGGCCAGACTAAAATTAAACATAAAAAAGAGTGAGTTCTTCTGCAGGGAAGTAGTGTTTTTGGGAATAGGTTTTGACAGACGAACCAAGGGTACTAAAGAAGAGAGCATTCAGCGCATCAAGAAGCTCACGAAACCTTATGACATTTGAGAGTGTTCCTTGGCCTCGCAGTGCACTTCCACACATTTACAAAGGACTATGCAAGGAAAACAAAATGACTGTTCTGTCTCAGACAGAAGTTCCCTTTGTCTGGTCCGAAGAGTTATCAAGAACTTGATAGAGCCATTTCATCTTCTCTTGTATTAACCCTGCCAAACTTTACCTTGCCATTCGAGTTATACACGGATGCATCTCACTATGTTACAGGCACCATCCTAAATCAACGCGATCACAGAGCTGAAGGTAATCGGCTATTATTTGTATACGTTCACAAAAATGCAGGAAAATTACACAACAGAAAAAGAAAGGCTCGCTGTGCACTCAGGTACTTCAGAAGTTACTTGGAAAGTAAACATTTCAGTTTATTCACTGACAACCAGGCGGTGACATACAGTAAAACCTCGTTAATTTGAAGTCACTGGATCCGCGAGAAAACTTCGAATTAAGCGGGTTTTTGAATTAACAGAACATACAAGAAGTGGGATGCAAGGAACTTGGAACTATTCTAAGTAATCAGTGCTTGTCGTTTACTGTGCCGGCTAGCTTGCGGCTCCAAAGGTCATGTTTTTCAGCAATACCTGGTCTTTATTTTGCCGCTAATATGGAAGAACAATGGGCCTTGCTGCAGCCACAGAAAAAAAAAAGAAAAAGGTGCTCGTGATCAATTAAAATGTGCACCCGCAGAAAACAAGACATCTTCACTGCAACACAGTTGTGACATGCGGGCAGCATGTCGCCTGCTCCTCACTTCGTCAGCACGTCATGATGGGACCATTCGCTCATTCATTCTATATGTATGTGAATTTTATAATGGTTAGTATGACGAAGCTCATAATGTGTTTTGGCTGGAAAGAAATGATCTTTGAAACTTTTGAACTTAGTTTTCGAAGTAGGTGTTGCTGGCAAGAACTTCGCCACCAGTGCAAAGACGTGAATTGCTGGCAACCGGCAATCGGAGGTTCGCATACATCGTGATTTCCGCTAAACTGTCTTTTATTAATTTCTTTACAATCCCAGAAAGAATGGGTAAACCATGACCCGTTGACGTTGCGAGAAACATGCGATAAACTGTCCGCGTGTCATCGCTGTGCTACAGTGAAGCATGCCTTGTTTTTTTGCAGGCACACATTTCTGTTGACCACGAGACCGGTTTTTTTTTTTTTTTTTTTTGGAAGCAGAGAGACTAGGGTGCTTCAGCTACCATTTGTTAGTATCGATACGTTGCATTGCCTTGTGGCTATTAACAGCCGTCCTTCCGCGGATTCGCGGCAAAATCGGGATATGGAACTCGCACACGACACCCAAAGTTTTCTGATGAACTGGACTGGTACTGGTCGACACTTGAAATTATTCGCTCAAACTTACATTGCAAAACACGGGACCGTGGAAAGACCGTGGAAATCCTTCAAATTAAGCAGAATTTTGAAATAACTGAGTTCGAATTACCGAGGTTTTACTGTATCTGTTGCAACTTGCACAGCCAAAGGGTAGAATAGCTCAATGGGTGAGCGAGATTCAGCAATTCAGTTTTGACATAGCACATAGACCAGGTTCGAAACATCAGGACGCTGACGCTCTATCACGTCTTCACGTGCAAGAAAAATTACAGAAAGAAGCATCAACTTGATGAATTTCAGGGAGGGAACGCAGGACATGGAGCTGCGTAATGGGCAAATGTGTGTCCCAACAACAAAAGTACCGGAAGTACTCAGATTATACCACCGCAGTACACATTCAGGAGAACACGATGGATTCTGGAAGACATATTATAAACTCGCCCGGAGATTTACAAGGACAAACATGAAATTGGATGTGGCCAATTATGTCAAGACATGCCACGAGTGACAAAATCAAAATATAAACCTCGTGGAAACAGAATGGTTATGCCAAGTACTGAACCATCTCATTTGAAGTGGTTCACCTCGACTTCGCTTGAATTAAAGGTGCCCTGCAACATTTTTTTAGCATGGTCAGAAAATGCTGCTGATTGGTAGTAGAGGCTCCTGACAACACGCGAGCCAAATAATATAGTGCAGCACGCGGCCTGGAAGTCACAATAAATTATCAAAGTCAGCCAAAAATTGCTTTCTCTTCTCTCGACAAATCACACAATAAGCCCAAAAATCACTCGTAGTAAGCTTATCTATCAGCCATCAGCTGATTTGAACATGGAACGTTCGGTCATTACAGAGATTGCCGCGGGAGACCGTCACTTGTCCACGCGTGCTTGTGCAATCGCACTGAGAAAAGTCGCACATTCAAAGAAAAAAATTAAAAAGTGCTCAAGGCCACGAGGAGTGCGTGACGTTTTTTGTTTACCCCTCCCATTCCTCCCTGCTTAGCTTCCAGCGCTTTCGTCGGGGTTAGAGAAGAGAGAATGCGATTACAGCGTGTGACAAACCTTTGTTACTCCGCTCATACTGGGGGGATTCTTAAAACTTTTGTGGCTATGAATTTGTGAGGCAATACGCTTTTCCAGTGAATTAATTCCATGGTTACTCAAAAAGTGTTTCAGGGCCCCTCGAAGAAGAAGAGTGAAGCCATCAAGAGAGCCCAAGCTTTCCTGGTCGCCGTGGATGAGTGCACGCACTTTGCGCTACCAAACCTGGAAGAGAAGACACGGATTGTGTCAGAGCACTATTAGAGAAGGAAATCTCCAAGAATACTGAAGTCATCGTTGCGGACAATGGGCCAGAATTTTGAAGTGGAAAGCTACGTAATTGGGCGAATGAAAAGGACACTGTACTTCGATACCCTCCGCCTTACCACCATGAGGCTAACTTTCTTGCCGAAGGAATGATTATATATCTGAAAATGTACCTGAAGTTATACCCGGGTGATTCCATGAGAGATCGACACGGGTCCAAAAGTTGATATTTTAGATTTCATTGAGTATTTTATATTTCATGCACCTCTCACCAGGTAGCCCGAAAGTCAACTTCGTTTTATGATTAACGGCATAACTTACGAGAAAAAAGAAATCAAACTTCACCAACACGGAGGCACCAATTTCGTCAGCTGTCATTTTAGAAAATTGCAGATGCTATAGAAAGACAAATATTTTTGTTTCAAGGAAGATAATTTTTACCTGAAATGCATGTCTAATGAAGAATGAAGTCATACGGTTTCAAGTTTGTAGACCTTAAGAAAATAACTTTTAAAAATTTCTAATTTTGCGACAGTTTAAAATAAGTTACGTATTCCCCTTTTTTTTTTCTCCGAAAGTAATGCAAGCAGTGTTTTCAAAATTGACACGTTTCAAGGATATAGTGTGTTCATCAGGTACATAAATTATTGCTGCTGTAGAGCAAAGGTAAATTTTTATATATTGCCTCATCAAAGTTCTCATATTGGCAAAAGTGTATTCCACTGAAATTTGAATAATAAAAAAACTTCATCTTCGATTTTTCTTAAAATCTCTTAAATAGACAACCGAAGGCCATCATACAGTAATATAGAAAAACATGTTGCATTATTTTGTTTTTAGCGACAATATTCGTGGTACAAATCGGAGCTTTTCGAGAATGGGCTGATAAGTTGAGAAATCTAGAAATCGGAACGGAAAAGCGGCAATAAGCTTCAAACGCGAGTAAATGTGACCGCATTTGGTAAAGAAAGGCTGTTTTAGCAGATAGGAGTAACTATTTTGAACATGGTATTCTACAGTATGTGAATTCACTCTTATATGTAGTGCACTGAGACTTCTAATATGTGGTGCCTCTCCATTACTGACACACAGATGGAGCTGCTGTGACGGCCATGTGTTGCAACACGTTGCAACACATGGCCGTCAATTCTTATAAATGTTCTATCTTCAGAAATGAGCACAGATAAAAGTCTCTGCTTTGTGTGTGTCTGTGTGCTCAAACGTGCTGTCTTCTTTGAGCAGTTTAAAACATGTGTGCTCAATTAACTGTCAGCAAACTAGCCACATAACACATGTATATGAAGTGCACTTGCCAAGCATGGAGAAAAAGCAGTCCTTGGAAGAGAGCGGTCTTGTTTGTGCAGAAACCTGGTCAACCTGGTTCTGCTGGGTCTGTTCAAGATCCACGGCTTCTGCCTGGCCGAGCTCCCTACGCGCATGCCCCTCCTACGGTGCATCCACCTAGAGCAGTGCAATGAGGTGAGCGTCTACTGTGCTGCGACTTTCTAAGGGCACAACTTTATTTAACACTGAAGTTGCAAGGTGTCGTGCCACCAGTCTAAGACCACACCTTTAGTGTAGACAATCTGCTGTGAGTGGAATCAGCTGGCGAGGTGGTGCAGTTGAAATGTGTACTGGCTGCGCTTGCCAAGATGATGTTAGAGTCTCTGCTTTCTCGGGGGTCATTGGAAGAGTTGCTGAACAAAATTTTGCTGCAGAGATTTTCAGCCAGATGGAAGGATTGGGTATTGAAATCTATAGACACAACCTTCTTTTTGTACAGAAACTGCACTCAAACTGCATGATAACAGTCACATCTGAAACTGCACTCAAACTGCATGATAACAGTCACATCTGCCACGAAAAAATTTTGTTGTTTTAATTGAAAATTTATTATAAAAGAATATTTGTAATACTGTATTTTTGACAAAGCTATTGGTCACTTGCTTTGCTATAATACTGTATTTGTAATACTGTATTTTTGACAAAGCTATTGGTCACTTGCTTCGCTATAACCAACAATATGTTATATTGAAGGTTCAGTGAAGTTCAAAATAATAAACTTGGTATGTTTTTCACAAAGAGCATCTGCACTTTGAACTAGAAGAGGGGACATTTGGTGACGTTTTATGCACCCAAGGCAAGCATGCAAACAATATGGGCTGTCGCTTCTGTCTATGGACACACTCATCCCCAATTACAGTTCCTAGAACCCCTATAAATGGCGGCATTCATAGATGCTCTCTGTGGGGGGGTAGGCGAATAAAGCCTTTATAAAGGGAGCCGCCCCTTTCTAGGTGAGTGGGCTGTAAAGAAGAGGTGGAGCAAGGGGCATGTGCTCCCTGTTTACATCATGAGTCGGCATAACAAGCAGGTGTTTCCGGGTCAGCTCTTTGAAATAGTGCCCACTGCAAAGTAGCCTCAGATTCTAATGGTTTGTTTTTAAAAATGTAGTCTGCACTGCAGGAGTGGAAGTGCTGCGCCATTCTGTCCTGCTGTGCCTAAATGGCAATTTGTGCTTGCAACGCCAAATTACTATTAGTAGAGTTTTATCATCGATCTAACAAGAGGCGTGGGCTACACAAAAGGCACAATTGAATCCATATTCCATGTAGTTCGGTCATGTCATATTTTGTTTCATGAATGAATCTTGGACCACCTGAACAAAATGCCTGAATCTTGTTAAGAGGACATTTGTGTGCATACTTCTTTATGCAACTACAGTCAAACCTGGGTATATCGAACTCGCCAAAAATGGTTTATTACTTCGATATATGGCATAATTCGATATAGGCCTGCTATAGGATTTGATGAAGCAAAGGCACATCCAATACGAAAAGTACTTCATTAATATTGGGGCTTACTTGCGTGCCCTACTTTAGAACAAAATAACCCTTTATTTTCTTTTGTTTCAATGACTTTGCTGCCTGCGACAGCATGCACGCCTTCACATCGTCCAACGAGTCGAAGCAGCTAAGGTCCCAACCTTCCATATTGATGCAATATAGCGCAGGACAAGTGCATTAATCACTTCATAGGGAACGGGTCGTCATTTTCCTCATTACAGTCGCGTTGGCTTGTGGTCGGCAGGACAGATGTAGTGTCTGGGGAAAAAACGCAGCTCGATGTTGCTAAAGATTGTACTGCAGTGGTGCAATGAACAATAGTCTACGAGCAGGCACACCTTGCGATTTTCGCCTACCAAATCATCGTTCCACGATCATAGCCACCTGCTAAAAAGCTCCCCAGTCATTCACGCTTTTGAGTTTGCTCGTTAGGGAACTGGAAGCGACAGTGCATTTCGAGAACACCGCGGTGCCGGGCTTTTCTCAATAACTAGAGGTCGAAGCTTTTTCGATCCGTCTAAATCCGCTGCCAACAGCACGGACACACGGGCTTTGTTTGCCTTGCTGCCACAAGTCTCTTCGCCCCGACATGCAAGTGTCTTGTTTGGCAACATTTGCCAAAATAGAGATGTTTCATCCGCATTGGAAATATCTTGGGCTTGATATATTGTTGCGATATCTCGCCAGTTTTTCTCGAGCCCTTTGTCTACACTGTTCAGGTTCACCGTTCTGCTTTCTCTGCTTTCTTTCACCCGTAACTGCTTTGCCAATGATGTCAGGCCGTTCTTTGAACCATTGGAGCCAGCTGTAACCGCCTTGGAAATTGTTCCTACCAAGCAAGAAAGCAAGGCTCTTGGATTTCTTCTTGATCATGGGGCTCTATACCAGGATTTTTCGCGACCGAACGTCCACAAACCACTTGTAAATAGTCGCTTTAACATTTTCATACACATAAGTGCGCACACGTTGAGTGCCACGGGCACCCGGCCTCTTGTCCAACTTGGCGCTGATGTCTGCCTTGTTGTTCAGGATAGTACTCAAGGTGCTCCTTGGTATCTTGTATGTGGCGGCGACGTTGGACTTCTCACCGTGCTCGACTCGATTTATGATTTCAACTTTAGAGGCGAACGGCAAATTCAGCCTCTTTGCACAAGCCATGATGACAGCGCGCCAAGAAAGTTCACAAAGCGCCAACAGGCTACACCACGAGCATGGAACACGCTGGATGAGGACTCGAAAAGAGGAAGCAGCAGGCACACAAACATGAAGAAAAAAAAATGGCACTCACTTGTACTGCATCTGCTCCTTGGAGAAAGCTTGGTGGTCTCTGATTGGCTGTAAGCGTTGTGGGCAGGCTAGGATCATTTTTTGCAGGGGGGTGTTCGCCCGTGCGCAGCCAGGTCTAAACCACTTTTTTTAGGGTGGCGCCGGCTCTTTTTCCTGCCACCACGAGGGAAAGCCAACTAACTGGGGCGTTTTTGAGGCACATGGAGTTTGATATATTGGTTGTCCTTGCTACTTTCGTTCGATGTAACAGTAACTTTTCCGATATATTCTTAATGTAAATTTACTGCATTTATAAATTGTTCTATATACCCGATAATTAGATATAAATGGGTTCGATATAGTCGGGCTCGACTGTATGTGTTTTAACTGCAAAGGTTAGTCAATTAAACGGTAGGTCTCTCGATTTCGCTTGCTTTGCCTGCACTAGTTCTGAAAAGTGCTGCAGCGGTGCCAGTGGTGCTGTGCACGTGCAGCACTAGGGTGCCTCGACGCCGCACGCCCCAACTTAGGGTGCTGCCACCTTTTGTACTGTTTTTTCCACCATTGTAGTGCTTGCATCGTCTTCGCCCAGCTGTAGGGCTCACGTGCCACTTTCTTCAGCCAGGTATGCCTGAATGTATCATTCCTCAGTGCAATAATCATTCGCCTTAAGCTAGTAAGCCACTTCCCGCCATAGCGAAACAGGTATATAGCTGGAGCGATAATGGCAGCCGCCTTAGCAGACGGCGCAGATGTCTTCACTCTGAGTGGAGGAGGGAGCATCGAGGCACTCTAGCAGCACTGGTTCTGCAACTGCAGGTGCAGCCGCGACACTACCGCATGGCGGCTACTGCCAAAACAGACGTGCGGGCCGAGTTAGTTGAATAGCCAATGCGACTTGTATCAGTGGTGTTGTTTACCAAGACACTGCTGCGATGGCTGTCTTCGTATCTACCATATAAAAATAAACTGCTCGACAGAGTCGATGATTCCGACAACGGCAATCGTTACCGTAAGAGAGATGGTGTTGATGGGGTTTGTTTTAATTGGTCACCTGCTCTTTCTACGTGAAAATGACAGTTATGTTACCAGACGCTGTCGGACTGTTCAGACTGTCTATAACGATATTTGAGTGGTTTATTAGTAAATTTCGTACTGTCAGCTTTCTATTGAAGTGCGTGTGATATCATAAAGCAAGAAAAAGCAAGAAAAAACTGAATAAAAGATACAAGATAAAGGTGGTACAAGCTTACGCGCCTACATCCAGCCATAATGACGTTTCAGTTGAAGGCTTCTATAAAGACGTGGAATCGGCAATGAGTAAGGTAAAAACACAGTATACTATACTGATGGGAGACTTTAATGCACAGGTAGGGAAGAAGCAGGCTAGAGACCAGGCAGTAGGAGATTATGGCATCGGTACAAGAAACGCCAGAGGAGAGCTACTAGTAGAATTCGCAGAACGCAATAATTGACGGATTTTGAATACCTTCTACCGAAAACGAGGAAAGCGCAAGTGGACATGGAGGAGGCCTAATGGCGAAAATAAGAACGAAATAGACTTTATAATGAGTGCACACCCAGGCATCGTGCAGGATGTTGAAGTTATTGGCAAGGTATGATGCAGTGACCACAGAATGGTACGGTCTCGAATTAGCCTAGACTTGAAAAAGGAACAATAGAAACTGATACGCAAGAAGCCAATCAATGAGCTAGCACTGAGAGGGAAAGTACAGGAATTCAGAGTATCACTTCAGAACAGGTACTTGGCTCTTAGTGAGGAAACCAACCTTAGCGTTGATGCAATGAGTGATAATCTGACGAGTATCATTACGGAGTGTGCAGTGGAATTTGGAGGCAGGGTAGTTAGACAGGACACTGGCAAGCTTTCCCAGGAAACGAAGAATTTCATTAATAAGCGTCAAATCATGAAAGTCTCAAGTACAACAGACAAAATAGAACTGGCAGAGCTTTCAAAGTTGATTAATAGGCATAAGGTATGCGATGTAAGAAGGTATAACATGGAGAGAATTGAATACGCTCTGAAGAATGGAGGAAGCGTCAAAGCAGTGAAGAGGAAACTTGGGATAGGTGAAAATCGGATGTATGCACTTAGGGACAAAGAAGGCAATATGGATAGGATAATTAAAATAGCGGAGAAGTTATACAGAGATCTGTACAATAGCCGGGACAACCACGACTTTAACACTATAAGAACTAGCAGTAACCCAGATGACATCTCACCAGTAATGATAGAAGTCAGAAAAGCTTTGGAAAGCATGCAAAGAGGCAAAGCTGCTGGTGAAGATCAGGTAACGTCAGATCTGCTGAAAGATGGAGGATAGATTGTGTTAGAAAAACTAGCCA